AAACTGATTTTTCATCTCCTTCTTTCCTTTCCCAGATCATGTACCAATATGTTGAACACTACAGATTTTAGCACAGATCCTTTGGAACTTGTGTTGAAAAGTTCTAGGCAGGCTTTGCCTATCTCTTGTAATTTCTTACTGCTGATCATTGGGGAGAATCAGCTATGAACTGAGGAAAAGGCCTTAAGGAATTTGTTTGTTTGTTTGTTTGTTTAATTTTGAATAACTGGTATTACTGTAGACCACTGTTGCAGTAATTAACTCATCTCTATTTCATGGGCAGTGTGATATAATTCTGAATATGCAGCTTGGTTCTGTTTCACTAGAGCTAATCTTAAGTGTAGAGAACAGCTTAGAAGTAAGGCTGGGTGTATAATGTTAAGATTTGTTTTGGTGTTTTAAAAGAAAGTAGTCTTACAGTAAAATGTGTATCACTTTATGCCGTGTTGCAAGAAAATTACATGAAAAATTTATAATAACTAGCTGTAGTGTTTGTATTCAGAGTTAATATTGATGCTTTTATTTGTGTGCTGTTGATCAAAACACTGGGGAGTAAGAATTCAGACTGAATGCAGAATGTATATTGCTGCATTAGAAAATACAGTTATTATTTTTTATTTCTTTTATTTTACAGAATGATACCTTTGCTGATTTTGATTCCATGACAGATCGCCTTTTAGATGAAATTATACAGTATATACAAATTTATAATCTACCCCTTTCAAAAATCAGGTAATATCTGTTCTATACTATTTACAGAAATAAACTTAAAACGAGAGCCCTGGGTTGTTTTAAACTGTGATGCTCAGGAGCAGGCCAAAAGAGAGATGAGAAAAGGCAATTTGGGACGGGGGAGGAGTAGGGGAAAGGAGGACAATGGAGAGAGAGGGAATTGCCAGATGAAAGAAGACTGAACAATGTTTTGAGCTCATCTATTGCTGGTTTTAGGGCAGAGGTTCAGCATTACATTTAAGGAATTGCTGTCTTGTGCTTCTACAAATTCTGCATAATAGAGTTCTGCAGAAAAACAGATAGTATTTTGAGAAAGTCAAAGGAACCTGCAATAGCACTATGCCAGGATGAAGTTAGCTTCCTTCTGATTCTATAGTCCCTTCACCAAGTATGACATGGCAGACTGTCTTGTCACTCCTACAGGGCACTTTCATCTTACCTGTGACATTGAAGGGCAGCTGCATGAAAATGTATTTCATTCTTTTTTATGTTTTCTGATTATTTCATCTGCTAAAGAACATGTTTTACATCTTATTAGAAGGCTCACCACAGTCCATGCACTCCTGTGAATGCCCGTTGCATTTATTTTCTCAAGGTAGGGTGCACCATTTGGGCAGACTACCTTACTAATTCAGCAGTGTTGCTGGAATTAGCTCATCAATAGATGAAAGAACCTAATTCAAGCCTGACTTTATCCATTTGTTTAGGCACCTTCAAATTACACATCCAGAAGTTTTTTTGACTTGCTAGTCACATGTGTTTCTGACAAGTTTGTGCATTCACATGTGTTTGGTAGGCCTTGTTCAGCTGGAGGAAACATCTAAAACATTTAAACATAATCTCACTATTTAAACAAATGTTTCTGTTTTGAGATAGGCAAGATCTGACATGCTTAATTTTGTCTAAACTGTTGATTTAAAAATTTTAAAAGCACTGTGTGATCATACTTTTGTTTCACAGGCTACATGGTGTAGCATAGCCCTTGTTAACACCCTTGGTATGGGAGAGAAGAGATCTGTAACCCACCAGCCTACACCAAGATCTTCTCTCCCATGCTGTTGTCTGAAGGCTGTAATGAGCAAACCCACCCAGTTATCTTCTCATGGTTTATACCTGAGAACTGAACTCTTGTTTGCTTTTGGTTTGCTTCTCTCATAAGACTTTGGATTTGTAAATGTTCTTCACTTTTATTTGTTACTTGTCATTTGAAAGAAAAAAATAAACCTAGGAATTTTTATTTTAGTTTCCTTTTTAAGGTGTGTACTTGTTTTGGGCCCTACTGAAGCCAAAGTTTTCATTTCCCAACTTCAGTTTTTGTTATGAGAAAGTTTACATGAGAGAGCTGTTAGAAAGACATGTGCCTCTAGGCAAGGCCTTGAAGGGCCAACCCAGAAAGCCTGGGAAAGTACTGCTGAGAAATCCTCTGCTCAGGAAGCCAATGCTTTCTGCCTCATTTTGGTTATGCCACTGTAAAAAACAGCCCTTGTAGTAGTTACCTGTGGTGTCCTGAATGATGCTGGTTTCTTTCCAAAAAATCTCCCCATCTCCTAAAGGAAGTGTTCTCTCTGTGAGTGTTGCTCCATAACCAGTCAAAATAGACAGCAGTCTCCAAATTTGTGATTTTTTATGGCAAAAAAAGCCAGCATCCTAAGATGGTCAGATTCTGTCTTGCTTAAGCAGCTGGACATCAGCATCCCAGGCTTCAGTATAAGGACAGAAATGTTCATGGTGGGAGATCCAGCTTCCTTGGCCTTTGGTCTGGATAGATTAATTTCATATTTCTATATGTCCAATTGGCACATATGCTCTTTCGTTTGTTTCCCATTTACTCTTTTTTCCCTCCCATTCTCTGTTATCCCTAATGCTGACTTTTTCTCCTAAGTTACACAACTATGCTCCTGCAGTGACCATTAAAAGACCATTGGGGACCTCTGCCATATGATACCTGTACCCACAGTCATACACACCACACTTCATTCTGGTGACACACTGTTCAGGCCACAAAGAATACCTACTTGTTATTAATAGAAACTGTAGGGAAACTAATACAACTTTAGACCTGACTTGGGAGTTCACTGGCAGATGATTGTTGTCACAGCTTAAATAAATCAAAATCAGCTCAGGTCAAGATAAGTCCAGAGATGTTCTGAGATTCTGCCCTATATTTGGATAAATGCAGAGACTCATGCTCTCAGGTAATGGCAAAATTCTACTTACAGTGCTACATTCCTGTACTGAGAAAAGACACTCCCTGTACCACTGGAATAGTGTCAGCTTCAGTAAACATTTTTGGTACCTGCAGAGCTAATACCAACTATTGCAGCAATTCACTAACACGTTCCTTCATCTCTCAACAAAATCTCTGTGCTCACAACAAGCATGGAGCAAGCATGAGCTGGAAGCTTGATTCAAAACAAATGCAATTTGCTTTATAAAGGAACTGTTTAATAAAGAACCACAGGAGGCTTTAGGTTGAGGGGACATCTGGAAGTCGTTTGGACCAGTCATACTAATGCCACCATCAAAGTTAATGCAACTTTGAAGCGTGTCAAATTGCTCAGTCATACCCATTCCAGTTTTAAGTATCTATGAGGATGGAAGTCCTGAGGTAAGCAGGCAGCTGGGGAATAAAGCACCTGCTCTTATAGGGTGGTTTCAGAAACCATTTTGCACATGTCAGGTCTTGCATAAATTTCCGATGACTTGTATTGGGCTTTGACCTCAGGTAGATTAATCAGTTTGTCATCCTCTTCCCTGAGTAACACTGGCTCATAAAAAAAACAACAAAAGTTTTTAATGCTGTGCATATATCAAAACTTCTGTTTGTTGTTTCAGCACCTCATTGATTATGAATCTTAATTGTTTTTCTTCCTTCCATGAATTTTTATAGTTGGACGGGATTTTTTGTTTATTGGCACAGAATAATGTGGTTTTCCTGTGTCTGATATTCTAGTATGATCTGAATTGGTAGACTGTTATCATAAAGCATGTATAAGAACTGTAATTCTGTTAACTTCAATGTGTTAATGATATATTTAGAAGATTGTAATATTGCCACCTAGTGTTCATTGCTTTTGCAGAGCATCCCATGAGTAAGTTGGATTTACATTCCTGTCTTACATTTTCAAGACCCTATTTGAAGGATTTTCCTTTTCCTTCCCTTTTTGATTTGAGCAATTTTTAAAACCTTTCTCTATTAAAAAACAAATTTAAGCCTTATTATGGGTTCACCTAAGCATCTGAATTGGATCACAATGTATTACTGTAGCCTTTATTATATTTCTAAGGCTTTTCAAATTAACTACAAGTCTTTAGTCTTTGAGGTACATTCACACAGCTGATTGTGAGCTCCCAGTTTTCCTCAAAATGGATCTTTCATGTTTCTGAAGTTTTGGTTAGGTATGCCTGTACTCTTAGGGATGATAGACTTGATAGATGGATTGCTGCTTTTTCACAGAAAATGCCCTTTGTTATGGTACAGTATAAGAGTTTCTCATCCCCTTATGACTTTTAGTAAATACTGTCTGAACTATAGGAGAACTGTCAAGAGAGTATCTCTGCTAGTATTCAGATCTTCTTTAGAAAACAATCTGTTTTACTCAAAAGCAGTTACATAACACAGATCATCTTCAGGATCAACTCAATTTCTGTGTGCATTTACTTGTTTGTAAAGAAATCTGTGTTTTTATTGTTCTTGTGTGGATTTTTATGATGTCCTCCAACAGAATAGTTTTAAATTTTAGTATTCAAGAGAGCAGCTCAGTGTTTTGTTTTGCAAATGCACTGCTGTTGTGCTGACACCACAGAGGATACATAATCTTTCATTTCAAAATTAGGCAAATATTGCAAGCTCAAGCAAAGGATTTCTCATACAAATAATATTGGAAATCTAGTAGTAAAAGCAACTGAGAAGAATATACATGCATGCTTAAACTCTGTATTAATAATGTACAAAACCCCTTTTTCTGTTATAGAAATGCATAATTATTTCCAAGTTTAGGAGTTCTGGGTGGTTCTGCCATTCTATAACCAATTGTTTGAATTTTTTAATTTACCTTTAAATTGGTATTTTCCAATTTTTAAACAGTCAAGTAATCTTTTAGCACTGTATTTTACACAGATGTTGCAGGAAGTTTTGTTTTACCTACTTTTGTTAATGAATGTAGTGATACAGAGCAAACAGGAAGGATGATTGTAGAAGTATAATACTGTAGCACATATGTGATCCAGCAGTGATAGTTCTACTGTACATAATTGGGATGGTTTTCTGTTTTCACCATATCCTGGGGTTACATCTGTAATGCAGGAAGGTACTTTTTCCTTCTAACTTTGTGAGTCTGGTCTTCTTTAAGTCAGTGCCTAGTCTGGTGTGGGCCTGATCTCAGCAGGGATCTGTTAGCATAATAACTAGAATGGCTTAATTTTGTGGTGTCCATTTTAAAGAAATGCTTTATATAGGCTTGCGTATATGACAGTAAGCACCTCACGTGAAGAAATATTTATCCTTAGATACAAGAAGCTAAAGAGTTCCATCCATCTTTCCCTTAAATTGCTTAACCAGGGAAACACCTAAAGTGTGATTGTCCTGACAGAGACATATTCTTCAATTGCCTGCTCAAGCTGATAATCACTTCTTTTGGTCAGTCTGAGATGGTGCTTCTGTTTTTAAATAATCAGGTTCATTTAAGCCCTATTAGGACTACCTTTGGAATCTCTCTCCACTAGATTGTTTCAGGAATGCTCATACATTTATCATATTGAGTGCCATCACATGCCAAAGTAATGATGATTTCAGTCATGCATGGCTCATAAAATATTTTCTTAATAGGTGGTGCTAAGAGAAATGAACCCAGAAATAATCTTGGGTTTGGGTGGTAGATGCTGGTGGAAGGATAGTTTGGTTTTGTTAGCTTTTCAAAAATGCTGTATTAAATATTTCTGGAGGAGTTCAAAACATGTTTTTAATGAGTTTGTGCAGCTTGAGAGACATGGACAAGCTATGCCTCCTGAATGACATAAAATACAGGTTTGAATGGAAACTTTTCATTAATTTTTTTCCTATGCTCTTTTAGCATTTCATGGCACCAGTTTTCTTTTTCTCTGTGAAAAGAAAAAAAATCCTGTTATAAAATTCCATGTTATATTGCTTTTTCTCTTTAACAGCTTTATTGGACACTCACTGGGTAATTTAATAATCCGTTCAGTACTCACAAGACATCGATTTAAGTATTACCTCAACAAACTTCATACCTTCCTGTCTCTGTCTGGACCACATCTTGGTACCCTCTACAACAGCAGTGCTCTTGTTAATACAGGTGAAGTATTATTTTCAGTAGTATTAGTTTAGGGGAAATCTTGTCTTTGAAATGAACTTAGCAATTTTATGTGGGGTGCACATTTCTGCATTACTGTGATTGTGAGAAACTGCATATTTCACTGTCATAAGCAGAGAGAATAAAATAAAAGTATCAATAAAAGGATGTGCAAGAAGAGATTGGCTTAAGTATTTTCCAGTATGTTTGGTTCAGGTTTTCTATTGCAGCATAAATAAACTCCAGTTTTATTCTGTTGAGCTCAATTTATAATAAATTGAACTTGAATATACTTAATCTGCCAAACAATTATATAAGATACATTAAAATAATTCTAAACAATTGTGTCTTTTCTCTCTTAAAAATGCCTTACAACCTGCAGTGTGTTTCTGCAGATGTGCATGGTGAGGGAGGCAAGATTTCCTGAAAAGTCAGTTAGCCACCTATTATTATTATTGACTAATAAGAGAAATAGTACCAAACAAAACTTTCTAGTATGGCATTCCTGTGAGAAGATTCTGCTTCCTTTTTCCAAGTTACATTTATTGACTTCAGTTTAGAAATTGGAGAAGTAATGCCTGTTGTTTTTTGAACATCAAAATGTTCTAATATTATACAAATTATTGAAATAGAATGTGTATATTCTGGCTAACATTACTGTATTTACACTTTCTGGAAGTTTTCTTTTGTGGGCAGACATGTACATTAGTTGAAATAAAGGCCTACATGCTTCATTGTGTAGATAAACAGGAAAGAAAATGAAAATTTAAACTGTCTGAGCTTGACAATGCTTACATGAAAAGTAAAATTAACATCTGAGAGACTGTTATGAACTTTACATACTACACTTGTGTTTAATTAGTTTTCGTATTTTATTGTGGATCTATACTCATGTTGTACCTAACAATGCAGGACTGTGGTTTATGCAGAAATGGAAGAAGTCTGGTTCTTTATTGCAACTGACATGTCGAGACCATTCAGATCCACGACAGACATTCTTATATAAACTTAGTAAAAAAGCAGGTAAGCTTTGTTAATGCTTCCTATCTCTTAAAGGCAACTGTGTACAAATGTAAATCTAAACCTAAGAAAAACCCCTTTATTTTCAAAAAGCTCCTGTTTCAGTTTTAATATTTAAGAGTTACTTAAGTCCTGTATTCTTCAAGTAAAGTAAACAGTGAACCATTTCTGTTGCAGAGGTAGGATATTACTTTGAGACTTTCCTTCCTAACTAATGAGCAGAACTTGAGTGCAGCCACTATACCAATAGATAAATAGGGCATTTTTAAAATATTGATCTATGAGCCACTGGGTGATGAGTCCAGTACATTCATACACATTTAGGGTTGTCTGTTCCTCTATATGCCTTTCTTATCTACATTATAAATCTTTTGTTACCTCATTAAGATGGTCAGGAAAAACAAAATCTTATTTTCATAAAGGAAGGAGAAGTTGTACTTAGCATAATAGCTAAATCCCCAATTAGATTATTCATACTATATTATTCATACAGTTTTCTCTGGGTTGAATATCCTTATTTCAACTGTTGGCCAAGAATGCGTTTTGCCAGTGGGTAATGTGCCAGCAGGGGGGTAGTTTCTGACAGATGTATGTGAATGTGTGTCAGTCAAGCAGTTGTGGAGCCAGAGATGCTTGTGCTGTTTTGTGAAAAATCCAGGCACACTCTTAGATCAAAGTATTTCTAGGCTGTCACAGCTGGAATTTTGTCAAGAGCAATGAAGTACAAATATATGGCAGGAAAAGACTGACATATAGCTCTTGAGGTGCTTGGAAGAAGGACTTGGAAGAAGCAGAAAATAATAAAGAAGGAGCAAAAAGAAAACTTGTAAGATAGGAATATTGATCAAAAATTGATTTTAGAACAACTTGGGTTTTTTTTTTCCCCCTTCAGAATCACCACAAAGTGATTTCCTTGATGATACAGTAATATTTAAAGCTGAATTGGTATTTAAAGGTGAACTCAATCTAGTCTTGCTGTCTTTTGAAAAGAAATGTTTGAATATAAATAGACATTATGTGAGAAGTTACACACTAGATGCTGAGTAAGACTGTGGGACCCCTGCTAAGACATAATCAGATTAATTAATCAGTTGGCTTTAAAAAAATTCATATTCCATGGTTTTTGTGTGTATGTGTTTCAACATGGCTAGAGACACTGTCATTGGAGTACTATTGTCTGTTGTAGAAATGTGAAATATTTTCTGATGGCAGACCTTTATATGACAGGATTTTTGAAAGACCTGCATAGCATTTTCTCAAGAGTCATAATGTACATTTCGGACTTTATTCCCCATAAATGGTAGAAGGAATATAAAAGTCTTCAGGCTCAGTTTTTTCTTTCTTGCCAAAGAGTTGGAAAGAGCTGTATTTTGGGCCACAGACTCAGCTACACCATCTTGTTTCCTGGTCCTTCAGTGAGGTCAGTGTAAGGGAGAAGGAAAGGCTGAGGGAGACAGGAGAAACAGATGTTAAAAATTAATGATTTTAAATAAAGAGAAAAGAAAGTAAGTTTTATGCTTCCCTCATAGAGAAGGAAGAAAGTTTTCCTTTGAGGGGTGAGTTAATATACTGTATGTACAATGTAGGTGTTGGTGCCTTTAATTGTTGATCAGTACAAGGCCTGCTTCTGTCCTGCCATCTCTCTCTTCCCTCAGTGGGCATACAGGATTGGCTAATCTTGACTCTCAGATACAAGGTGAGAGGCATTTTGGGATTCCCCAACTTGCACAATTCCTCTTTTCAGAATCCAAATACAGGGAATTTATGTGCTGGTCTCAACAGTGATTCTAAACATAAGTCTTTCCAGAAGTCATTTAACCCCAGGGTACATGCAAGAGATTGACAACACTTTTGAGAAGTGTAGCCCTGAATTTGCAACTTCTATTGATTTTTTTAATCATAGAGTTAAATAGGGGTCTAAAATGAAGAAACTGTTGCTGCTTAATGTGGTGTCTTCTTTGGACATTGGCTTTGCATCTGGGAAAATCCCTAAGGCAGCAAAACCTAAAACTTGCTGTGGATCCAGCAGGTGGTGCTTTGAGGGTCAAGGTCTCAGCTACATAGTTGTATGGTGGCTTGTGACTCTAGATTTTAAATTTGCCAAAGAACATACATGTTATACACATCCTGTTGCTTAACCCCAAGATGCATAAAGAATAGGTAAACAGTACAATTCACTTATCTTATGAAATACCCTATATACTTTCTTTGCTCCTGCTGAAGATTTTGATCAAACACTTATTCATAATGAAAGATTAATGATACTTATGTCTAAAATATGATATTCAGAAGGGGCTGTTCTAAGGCAAACTATTTTCCTAAAGTGCTCCATTGTGTTTGGTCTACAACAGATGGACAGCGCCAGAAATCTGCTGCAGCTTCCTAGAGAAAATGTAACAATTCAATGTCTTTAAGGGCTGTAACTCTGTCATTACTGGGGGCTCCTACCTTTGCATTGTTCTACTATGAGCGTGCTTGTTCAGGAATTAGGAAGTCTGAATTTAGTTATAAAGGTTTAATTATACTTCAAGGTTATTTTGGGTGGATTCTGCACCTGTGCTTGAGCTGGTTAAGCCTTACAGTGAGGCAGTGCCTTAGAGAGGCACCTGCACTAGGTGGGCTGTATCATGTATGTGTTGGTCTAGGCACGAGTTCTAATGCAGCTGCTGTCTGAAACTTCAGTGAAGACAAGGCACCATCCATCTTTAGGTGTCTTTAAGCCATGTGGAGGCTTTACTCAGTTCTGTATAGCCAGAAACCAACCACTGTATTCCTCAGAAACAAGATGAAGCTTTGAACCATACTCAGTTTAATGGGAAACTCTAAAACTGAGCCATGGCCATGTCTATTAAATATGTACAGAGGAAAGGCTGGTACTAAACAGCTCATTATTTTGTAGCTCTACCGATCATAATTGGTTTTTCTCCCTTTTTGTGCAAGATCCTGTAATAAATTAGTGCCAAATATCAATTGTAAAATGTTTAACTATTCAGTAACAATAGGTCAGAGGATTTGGTATAAGTGATACCTTTTTTCTTGTAGGTCTTCATTACTTCAAAAACATTGTGTTAGTAGGATCTCTGCAGGATCGTTATGTTCCTTATCACTCTGCTCGCATTGAGATGTGTAAAACAGCTTTAAAGGATAAACAATCAGGTAATAAATATCCACAAAATAAACAAACCACTCAGGTTAAAACCTCACACATATCAATCTCCTCCCATTTAATTTTGGCTGCTTAACTGAGGCACCTCTATTATGTGTTTAGAAACTTTGGGCTTACTTTGTAATAGCAGTAGAGGGAGAAAATCCACATGGAGGCTGACTTGCTTTCTGTATCTGTCCTGTTCTGTTACATGCAGATGGAGATGAGACTGAACAGGTTTGTAGCTCACTGACCTCACTGATAGTTAGGTGAGATAGACACAGCCCTTGATGTACTATTTCATGAACAGGGAGGACAAATAATTTTGATTCTTGAGGATATCAAATTGTAGCATCAAGCCCTGGGCTGTATTTAGCTGTGGCTTAATAACAGCACTGAAAAAAAGGTAATTTTTCCATAATCAGTTAGGGTCAGTTGTTGTACTTACTGTTTAGATATCCTAGTACAATTGCATTCTAGTACTGTATATTGACAAATAACTTTTATGTAATATAATAAATTAATACTGATAAGTACATTCTCACTATAAATGTACAAATACTAAAATGCATAGCTTCAAATTATTTTTCCAACATTTTTCTAGAGGAAATTAAATTTTCTTTATATTCTATCTTAACAGAACCACAGCCTAACACATTTCATTACTTCTCTTACTCTGAAATGTGTTCATTCTGAGCTCAAGGTCAAAGAATTGTGTTAGTTTCTGGCAATTCACACAGTACAACTTTTCTTTTCCTCTACAGGACCAATTTATGCTGAAATGATCCAGAACCTGCTTCTGCCAGTTCTTCAAAACAAGGAATGTAATTTGGTTCGTTATAATGTAATTAATGCATTACCCAATACAGCAGATTCTCTCATAGGGAGAGCTGCACACATTGCTGTTCTTGATTCAGAAATATTTTTAGAAAAATTCTTTCTTGTTGCTGCCCTAAAATATTTTCAGTAGAGAAAAGCATTGTCAGAGACTTGGTTATTACCTCATTAAAAGATGAATTCAGATAATGTGTGGTGTTAAAGTATAGCTGCAGCTGTATTTTAAGAGATATTTATACTTTTTATATGGAAGATAATTTATATCATCCACACTTAGGGCTTTTTAACATCAACTTTACTTTCTAGGTAATGTGACTGTGCAATATTTTTTTATTTTGTTCTTTTTACTTTTCTATTACTTTTTCTTAATTTTGGGTACCTAATTATTTGGAGATTAAAGCACAGTGTGTACTTTTGTTCGGTTGGTTATTGGCTTTCAGACAACAGAAGTCGATGTTACTTGGCTACATTTTACAAGAGGCTTTAGATGCCAAAAATAAATTGGATTTTAAAATTCTAACAATGTCTTACGTGTTCACTTGTCGTATTTTAGCACTGTAGGAAGTTTAACTGGAAACACAAGGAGCTGCTAAAATACTGGATATTTGAAAATTACTATATCTGCTACAGCTTAACAGTTTTCTACAAAATCATTACTGTCATTGTTAAATATGTTATGCCTGTGGGAATACATTTTCTGCTGATCTCAAAAACATGTTAGTTTACATACTCAAATTTTAAGACTGGAACTTTTGTTTTCAGAAGCAAATGGCAACTAAGGATATTTGAATGTTCAATGATAGCTGCCTTCAAATAATTGGGGTTTTGCAAACTGTATTTAGATGGTTCCTTACTCTGTCAGTTCTTCAGATGAACATGGACAATTTTACGTGGACTTCCTTGTATATACTTAAAATAAGTAAATGTTATAAATTTCTGCAATACTTTTATGAATTTAAACAATTTTTAAATATTGTTAAAATGTTTTATTGACTATAAAGTATTGTAAATATAAATCAATACATCTTCAAATGAGACTATTGTAAACTTTACCTGTTTAGTGACACAGATAAAATGTTTTTGATATACAGGAATGTTAAAGATCTGACTTTCTACTGGTGCTGAATAGCATTGTTTGGTTTCTTCTTCCTTCCCTTTTCTCTGTTTCAAACAATAGTTCATTAAAGGTGGGGGAAAAGAGTTATATGTGCATTCACTAATTGTACACTAATTGTAATGAACATTTTTTGAAAACTATAAATTTGTTGTATAATGCATGTTTATTTTTAGCATTGTGTTATTGCATCTGGTGTTAATAAAATGAACAAATTACTCTAATGAAAGCAATTAAAGAAACTGAAATGTTCTGCTAATTACCAAAATTCTGGGGAGGCTTTTTGTATATAATTAATAATTTTGTACTTTTGAAATTAATATAGCAATAATAGTTGAAGTGATTATATATAGATGAAATTTCTTTAACAATAGATGGAATTATTTTGCATTTGATATGGAATGTTGTATAATGGTCTTTGTAATATATAGGGAGGGTTCCCTATAACTTAGAAGATGCTGAAATGAGTATCTGAGCATCTACAGTTCAGCACTATACACTGCAGAGTATTTTATTAGTGTTGTGTTAGGCAAGTCCTTATGACACAAAGGTATCTTTAATACATTCTCACTATAAAAATGCCTATTTTTGTTTTTAATTTTGTATTATGATGTTGCTATTAAGATCTAAATGTTTAAATTATGTTCTTGTATCTCAACTGTCTTTTATTTAACATTATTATTGGATTTGGCTACTGGCTCAACTTTGATTAGCTGTTGAAGGGAGCTGAAGTTACAAAATATTCCTTGATTCACAATTAAGACTTTAAACTGTTCTTAGGAAGCAAGTATTTAAATGGTTCTGTCACTACTGAAAAATGTCTGTCTTGCTTTCTGTCTCTGGAAATCAGAACATGTAAAGCATGCTTTTGTGATCAGGAAAGCAAAAGTATCATGACAGAAATATCCACTTTTTTTCTTTTTTTTTCTTTTTTTGGGGGTGTGGGGTGGTAACATAACAGTAGGTCCTATCTATTTAAAGCAGTTTGAATTAGGTTTGTTCTTTGAGGAAAATGGAATGGTGCAGGACATCATGCGATATTTGTGTGTAAGTATCACAAGGAACAGGGCATTCATTCTCTCTTCCTTAATTTTTATTGCCTACTCCATATGTGGTGTGGTGGCCCTGTCAGTGCTGTAGCTTTTGTGAGGGCTGTTTGACATCCCAGAGTCCCAAAGGAATGTGCCATCTGACCGTAGTGAGAGTGTCGAGGTTTAGGGCAAATTTGGAGGAGAATTTCCAAATTAGGGCTCCTCCAGTAAGCAAACCCACACAGCCCCTCCCCCCAACCGGTTCGGGAAGGATTTCTCGGAGAGGAGTGGAAAGAACCTGTTTATTTAACAAGCACAGCACCCCCCAGCACACAAATGAACAATACCGGATGGCACCGCTCTGAAAAAGATGACAAATTCAGAAAGTCTCTCTGGGGTTGGTCACTCTGTTCTCAGTCCCTCCGGCGCTGGGGCTGCTGCTGCAGGCCAGAAGGTGCAGGATCTTGGTGTTTCTCAGGTCCCAGTCTGGAGCAGGTTCGAAATGATCAGAAAAAGGAAAGGAGAAACCATCCGGGAAGAAATTGGACAGTTTAGCTGAACTAGCTAAAGAGCAAAAGCAAGCAGAAGCGAAGCAAGCAAGAGCGAGAGAGAGCAAAAGCAGCAAAAGCAAAAGCTGCAGTCTCTGTGTCCCGCCAGGCTGATAAGAAAACCAAAACAAAACTTTCCCTCTTCAGAGCCGGTCTTAAAGGTACAGAACATAATATCCAACATTAACAGAACACATGAATGGGGATACAAGCATCATAACGTCACCCTAGGACAGAGAGGCATGATGACTCCAACATGTCCTTGAAGCTTAGGAGGTTCACATTCACTCACAGCATGTATGGTCACTTGCAGTTGCTCCCTGAACAACACATGCAGGCTGGGATATTTTGGACAACTGTGCATGTGTTGCCTGGCATTTCCCCCCTATTCCTGCAGTGTTCTGCCTTCTCTTTCCTAGACCTAAATACAGACCTGTGTATACATAAGTCAGTGTCTTCTGATGCAGCAGAAGCTCCAAAGTGCTGCTACTCACCATCTCACCACTCTTCTGTTTGAATGAGGGCTTCATCTTCCTTCCTAGAGATAGTGACCTCTCCTTCATGCAGGTATCCTGCAGCTGCTTCAAAGAGAATTGTGCTGCTTACAGAATGAGAGGTAAGAACTGAGATCTTAACATTCCTTCAACTGTCAGTCTCTTGTTCCCTGAAGGCAAGAGGCTGGTACTGTTACTTCAGAAAGCTCTCAGTGATGTAATGAGGAGATCAGTGCATCAAATGACATAGTGTCTGAACCTCTGTTTCCATGTTCTGCATATAAATTAATTCCTTGGGTTGTGTTTGAATCCTTGATACAAACTCAACTTTCTGTTACTGTAAATCTAGGCATTGCTACTACTTTAGAAAAAGAGTTCATATTATACTGGAAATCACCAGGATTTGCAGCAGAGCCAAGAGATTTGACATTGATGGAAAACTTACTCTGTAACCACGAAACAACCTTGATTCCAAGCTGGTTTTATTTGCTTAGCCCTGACCAGGTGTGTGTTCAGATAACCAAGGTTCTTGACATGGTCTCAGAGGCAGAGGGGGTATTCAGGCAATATCAGTACACTTGCTGCCCAGGACAGTGCTGCTTGTGGTGCTTTCCAGGTAGTCTCCAAGACCAGTACATCTGGCTCATCTGAACTGACCTGCTGCAAGCTTTGTGCTAGCTCTTTTATTCCCCACTTTTTAGAACAGCAAAGCTAAATACAATATTGTTTCTGTCATCTTGCAAAGGAAGCTGCAGTGCAAGAGATAAATGATCAGTAAACAGAGGAAGGAAAACAGTCCATTTAATCACTAAGTAGAAAATTCCTGTGGTGTATGCTGCGGTTGTTTTTACCAATGTAAGATTTATTGCCTCCTTAGCCAAAAGATCTAGAAATGAATAATTCAGGAGGTACAAGTGAATTTTTACAGCAATACAATAAAGATGAGAAATATGTTTTGATAACAGTTAATTTTGAGGTGGATAAACAATACCTCAATAGTCTTTCAGTGCTATTTCATTCTTATAATTTGAAATTCAACATGCTTGTACATATGATGTATGCATACATGTATGATTTCTCATGGCATGTGTTAAGCAGTTTAGGAGCACAGCTTACTTGGTGTCTGCAGACAGCTTGGTAAGTTTTTTTAAGGTTCATGTTTTTATTCTACTGAAGACATAAATAATAAGTTCTCTTGAACTTTGACAAGATCTGTTTAGGTTTTCTCCTTGCTGCTTTCAGGCAGAACATTTTTTTCTGCATTTGTCCTTATTTTCCCTGATCTAGAGGCCCAGCATCTTGCTGTTAGAATAAAGGAAAGGTTTTCCATTATTTTCAGTCTCTAATGTCTAATTAACCATGTTATAAAAGGTTGATAGAGAAAATGTCACTCATAAGGCAGTCAGTTAAATTGAATTACTTTCAGTGTGTAGGCATTGCCAGATGTAGCTCCAATAAACTCCAGGAAGTGCTGCTGCTCTTTAATTTACCGAGATTTAATTTCTTAAAGCTTTCAGATGTGAACAAAAAATGCTATTTTAGGTTCACATCTCCAAGTTATCATCTTCAGGTTAGTATCTGTAGACAGTGAATTCTGTTTTATATAAGAACACTGTCAGCTGGAGAAGTTTAAAAAGTGACAAAAAGCAAAAGTTGGTATATTCAAAACATTAACTGTACTTAATTACGTACTTAATCATGGAGCGCCACTCCATGAACTCAGGTGTTACTTATCCCAGGGTTCGGTTTATACTGAGCCTTAAAAGCAACTTCACTGCCTAAACTCGGAAACTGGAACGATGCTGTCTGAAAGCATGAACACTGTCTGTACATCACTATGGTGTTAGCCAAAGTGTGTTATTTGAACAATGTACAACAAAAAAAAAACCAAAAAAACCTAGCTGGACTACCCTACAGATTGAGGGGGAAACGGGTTCTTGCAGCGCTAAACTCTTCACTGCATTGAAGAAAGAAGACGTCTTTTCTCTCCACCCCTAGACAAACGTGGAGCAGAGTTACAGCGTATTTCTCGAGCATCTCCACGAGCCCGTAGCTGCCTTCACCGGGACCGTGGCTCCCCTGGCGCCGTTCGCCTCTGTTTGCCGGAGCCGGGGAGCAGCGCGGGGCACGGGGGAATGGCGAGGCCGCTGAGGCAGCGCTGCTCGGGGCCGCGTTCGCCGCCTGCCCCCGGCTGCAGCCGCCGCCGTCTTGGGCGCCTGCGCGGCAGCGCTGCCCGCCCCGCACGGCTCCGTCCCGGCCATGGCTCTGCGGCTGCTGCGCGGCGCGCCCGGGGCAGCGAGTAAGAGGCGGGCGGAGAGCGGGAGGGCCCGGGTGGTGCCGCGGCGGGGCTCCCCGGCTCCCCTGCCCTTCCTCCCGCAGGAACTGACGAGCGAGGGGACGGGGCGGGCGCCGCCCGGGGCTGCCGGCGCTGGGGGGCTGGAGAGCGCCCAAGATGGCGGCGGGTGAGGAGTGTGGCACGCCCCGCTCCCTCAACCTGGGGACTGGGGGGCCGGGGCTGTCGCAGCTCTCCCCGCACCTTCCGCGGCCCTGCAGTTTCCCTACTCTTAACCCCTTCTCTGCCTTCCCCCTCGCCCTTTCGATATTAATATTCTCGCCTGTACTGTAAACCTGCTGCTATCGGGCAACTCTGTTATTACGGAGGTTTTCTTGCCCTGTCGTTGCTTCGTACTTCTTATCAGCAGTAAAATGTTAAAAAGCAGTGTAAGGTTTGGGGAATAGCTGGAGGAAACGCGCTGTGTACCTGGAAGTTACTGCTCCGTTCCCTTCACGTGAGAAAATTCAGGTGGTTTGTTGATAGAGAAGTAAGGCAGACTGGGTAACAGAGCCTGCCCCACCGGCCTCAGCTTGGGCTCTTTGTTGGGTGCTTCCCTCTCGTCAAAAGCTGAGGTTCTGTGCTGCTATTGATACAATACACTAAAACAAACCAGTGCACTGTATGTTAATGGAATTTTTGTCAGATGTTTGTGCTCCATTTGGCTGTCAGGTTCCTGGCAAGATGTGGCTAACGCTCTAATCCTCTGAGCATCCCGATGTGTGCCCAAATCCCACTGCATGGATGGCTTTGTTAGGATAAATCACATGCTGTGGGCCACTTCAAAAGATGGAATATTGCAGCGCAGCAACTTGAAAGAATTGGAATTTTCAAGTTCAGTTATATTATTAACAAATGGTAGGGCATTGTGACACTGTGTAAAAGAGAAGGGAATCAAAGATCAGTTTGTACAATGTGGTTTACTAATACTGATAGTTCATCTCATCTTTTTCAGAGATGGTTAATGTTGAACTTTTGTCACCTCTCTGTCAAGAAGAGTGTATTTTGGTCTAGAATATCAAGTAAATCTATCAAGGAAAATGGGTTTAGCCTCTTCTCTAGTGACCGAGATAATAGATTTCATACCAGTACCTTAATCTGTTTTTTATTTTAATTTGGACTAGAATACCAGCTATAATTGAATTTTCTTGCTAGCTTTTCTTTCTAGCTTACTGAAGAATGAGAAGAAGCTTGGCAGGAGTAGAAAGACCCAATGTTTGCAACAGATTGGATCCTTTACTGTTGATAATTTGTTACACCATGCTTTACTCCTTTGGGGCGTTTGCAGCAGTTGGCAGACATAATACAGTTTGTGTGGCTGTAGGGTTTGATATTAAAGATGTGGTATTTTAAAATGAATGAATATGCTGATTCTGGGAATACAAGTGAGTTGTTAACTGCTGTATATTAAGGTGAGTCAAAATGACAGTGCTTGAGAAGGCTTCCCGATTCAATCTCCTTAGGAAAGTAGAATAATAGTTCTTTCAGGTACTTTGCACCCAGCTGGTACAGGGAGGATTTGTGTTTGAATCTTGCTTCTTAAGAAATGTCAGAACTGCTTTAGGCACCTGTCCACAGCCAAAATATTTTTAGTGGATAGTTTATGCTCACTGTGGACATTTACATTTGGCTTTTTAAACCAAACTGTTAGTGGGAGTTTAAGGAAAAAAGTTAATGCTTTTAATGAAAGCATTTGCATGCAGTTACATAATTGAACTTAAACATGCTCAAAGTTTTTCCTGCTTTTGACTACCAGCTGAATTATTTTACCATCCTTAGGGAAACCCAGCTATCTTCTGCCGACATTCTGGAAAACCTGTTACTAAGGGAACGTTTTATTTTTTTAAACTTTCCTTTGGGAAAGCTTTTTCTGACTAAAAAGCTGTTGGAAATGAGCCAAGATATGGAAATCAGCAGGTTTCTTGGGGGAGGTTAGGATTTCTCCTGGAAAACAGACTGTACTGGTCTATGCTAGCATAATTACTGTTTAAGAGTCTAAAATACAAGAAAGTAACAGCAAAGATAAGTTCAAGCAGTTTAAAATACACTGTTAATGTGAACTGAGTTATACAACTAACACAATTTTGCCTACATCTGTTTCTAGGGCCAAAAATAATTATCTGTACTGATTTCTTAGGTGCTTATGGATTGAATGTTAAATAATTTTTAGAGTTTGTTTTCCTGCCTCCCTCTCCCTCATCCCTGAAGTAGTTTTTTCTCAGAGGTGTTCTGGACAGTCACAGCATTGCTCAGTGTTAAACTCCTGCATTTATGCTGCATGTCCATTTGCTTGATAGAGTCATCACTTCTTTGGCACTCACGAAGCAGCTCCAGCTCTAAGCCAGGAGGAAGATCTCAACCTGCTAAGCAGCCACTAAAGAAACCAAAGTTACCAGTGGGGAGGTTTGATGAACCAGAAGAGTCCAGTATGGAGAAGGAACCCCTGGAAAGTAAGTAATGTTTTACAAAATTGGAAGCTGTGTTTTAAAGGAAAGACTGCAAGATGTTGTGCTGATGTCAGTTTAAGAAGGTGACAGACATTCAGCACTCTTTAGAATCATTTTCTAAGCTTACTGCTCTGAAGAACAAATCAGGGAGGCAGGGGAGTGGGCACGAGTTGCAGCAAATGGTGCAGCAGGCAACAAGAACCTTCAGAACAACCCTGCTCAAACACTGTAGCAAGTCACACAGAGAACCTGGGCTTCCTCTGCTCTTGAAGATAAGCAAATTTGCCTGGGTGTCCTGACTTAGTACCAGCCCTGCCTTTAGCAGGGGTACTTTCCATTAGAACAGCCTGCTCAAAGCCCAGTCCAGCCTGGCCTTGAACATTTCCAGGGATGGGGCATCCACAGCCCTTCTGAAGGACTTGTTGCAGTGCCTCACCATCCTCACAGTAAAGAATTTCTTCCTAATAGCTAATCTAAACCTACTCTCTTTTATTTTAAAGCCAATCTCCCTTGTCCTGTCACTACATCACCTTGTTAAAGGTCCCTCTCCAGCTTTTCTACAGGCCCTCTTCAGGTACTGGAAGGCTTCTAAAAGGTCTTGCCAGAGCCTTCTCTTCTGCAGGCTGAAGAACCCCAGTTCTCTCAGTCAGTCTTAATAGGAGAGATGCACCAGTTCTGTGTTTGTCTTAGTGGCCTTCTCTGGACTTGTTCCAAGACATCCACCCCTTTTTTGTGTTGGGAACTCCACAACTGAACACAGTACTCTGGGTGGGGTTTGGGATTTTTTTTTTTTTTTAAACAAGTATTTATGATACAAACATTTTCAAAAAGGCAATGCAAAGAATAACTTTTAACTATTTGCAGCAAATGAACCACAAGTTTCTTCTTCCCAACATCTTCATGAATTAAGCATTAACGATTTGATGAAATATTTTCTTCTCATTCTTCTATATACAGAATATATTCTGCCTTACCATATAAACAGGAAGCCAAGTCTGAAAGCACTAACATCCTGAGGAAAAGAAATACAGACTGATATATAGTCTCCAAAAGGAAGGCAGCAGAGTGCCCACTGGAAGCAGAATTTCCTTCATCTGTAGACAGTACTTCATGAAATCCTTCAAACACATTAATGTGCCCTTCTGTACAGTGCTGGTAATTGCTTCAGTTCTTGGGATGTAGCCTTGGATAAAGTAATTTTCCAGAACTGGATGTAATACTGTCTCATGAGAGTATTGCCACTCACCTCCATAAAATTAAAAGGTGGTGTAGCTGTCACATCTGTCAGGGGCTCTATATTCAACATCCAGGCAAGCCAGTGCCGTGCATAATTCAGTCCATGAGGATGTGCCCCTTCTTTAATTCCATAAGGCCACCAGAGTTGAATGATAGCAGCATAAAGACTAATTATTCCTTACATTCATTTAAGAAACTGATTGTGTTCTTCCACCTTAGAATCCTTAATTTCATTAACAAAATCCTCAGATACTCTTTTACAGAAGTCCCCTCTTTTCATACAGGCTAAAATGGCTCTGTGTAGTGCCATTTTAATTTGTGCAGCAGAGCTAAAAACTGGTCTCCAACTCCAGAGTGTATTACCCTGAGGCTGCCACAGCTTTGCATCATGATGCAAAGCTACTTCTGCTTCTCCTTTCACAAATTTCTCCGCAGTTTGTCATTGTATTGTTGTATTATTCTCATATTATAAAATCATTTCCATGCAATTTCAGATTGTGGCTCACTTGAGAACTAGCTCACAATTGGAGTTACTGTGTAAGCAGCTGTTAAATCCTTGTCTTTTTATTCCCAGGAAAATCAGTGCCATCACTGCTTCATTTAAAACATGCATAATCCTTATCTTTTGTTATTTGCTTAGGTATTCCAGGTTTGGAGCAAGACTCAAGGTCTCTTTAGTTGCACCTGTATTTTTTACATGTAACACTAGCAATAGTTTGCAAACTGCCTGTTGTATTATTTGGAAAAAACCTAAGAATTGAAGCTGGATTTTAGAATTCCTACTGCTGTAGCTATCAGTGGAGAAATCTTTTGAGCATCAGCATCCGCTGCCAGCATGAGTAGTGCTTTGATATTGGGATGATGACATGTACAAAATAATATCAGCTGCATTTGCACCCCTTGAACTGCCAGAGGTGCTCAGATACTGATGTTTCTTTTCCTGGTTGGCATCAGTTATGAAACAGGTATCCCGTTATGTATCATCCTGTGCAGCCTGTAGCTGTATGAGTTTCCTCCATCACTTTTCTTTTTGTCTGATGTCCAGAATTTCTGTTGTAGTCTTCCTGTTACATTTTCAGCCCTGCGCCTCATTACCTGTGTTGCCCACCCGAGCTGAGTTAGGGATGTGACTGAGGGATTCCCAAGTTAGGTGTGTATGTGGGAAGCAATGGAGAAACAGCGTGGCAAGGGGCATGTGGGGTACTGTGAGTTTCTGGGAGCCCCACAGTCTAGTGCAGGATGAGACTCAGCCTAGGATGGTGCTGTGCCACAAGTACTTAGTGGCTTGACAGCCTGAGTTAACTATTCTTAGGAGATGGCCCTGAGTAGCAGAAGAATGTTGCCTGAGGTACAGAAGGCTCTGTGGTGTTTAAGAAAGTAGCGTGAGCTGGCAGTGTGCTTCTCTTTTGTAGCAGGGTAGGGGGTTGGATGAAATCTGGACATGATCTGTCAGTGTATCATTGCAGGCCAGAATACCAAGTCCTAGACTGCATCAAAAGCAGTGGGGCCAGCAAGTCAAGAGGGGTGATTGTCCTCTGTTCTCATGAGACCCTACTTGGAATGCTGCATCCAGCTGTGGAGTCCTCAGCACAAGAAAGGCATGGGCCTGTTTGAATGGGTCCAGAGAAGGGACCAGAGAAGGTGATCAAAGGGCTAGAGCACCTCTCCTGCCAGGACAGACTGACAGAGCTGGGATTGCTCAGCCTGAAGAAGAGAAGGCTTTGGGGAGATCTAATTGTGGGCTTCTGATGTCTGAAGGGGGCTCAGTACCTTAAGGGGGTTTATAAAATGCAGGGAAGGAGTTTTCATACAAGCAGATAGTGACAGGACAAGGGGCAATGGTTCTAAACTGAAGGAAGGCAGGCTTGGAATAAATGCTAGGAAGAAACTCTACTCTGAGGATGGTGAAGCATTAGAACAAGTGAAGCATTAGATTGTTGTTATTCTATTTCTCTAGAGTCTCATATTGTTGTTCTATCAGATTTCTAAAGTCCATACCTCTTTGGCATAGTCTCATGGCTGCAGATCTTCACTGACTCCTTCTTCTGCATGGGGTTCTCTCTCAGTTCAGGGCTCCTCCAAGGCTCTCCCTGACTGGCTAACCCACCCCCTTTTATCCCAGCCATCTTCATTGGTTACAGCTGCAGCCCAATTAAGGACATCACAGCTGCAGCCCATCAAGGGCAACTGGGACCTCTGGGGCAAAGCCTCCATAGAGATATTCTAATACATTTCCTCTACTATATTTCCCCCTTTTCTTTTACATGAGTTAACAGTTGTACAGATGTTCAGTTATAACACATACATTTCCCCATGACTCACAGGCCATGTACAACACACAAAGCTCCTTGCTCAAAGGCCATACTCTTTCACAGCTCCCTGACCCAAAGGCTATGTTCTGTCACAGCTCTTGGCCTCCACAGCTCTCAGCTGTCTTATCTTCTGTTAACTATCACATCAGGGTCACCAATTGTTGTTCTTCTATTATGTCTCTAGAGTCTCATAATGATATTCTCAGACTTCTAAAGTCCATACCTCTTTGATGCATTCTCATGGCTGCAGATCTTCACTGACTCCTTCTGCTGCATGCTGTTCTGTCTCAGGTCAGGGCTCCTCCAAGGCACTCCCTGATTGGCTAACCCACCCCCTTTTATCCCAGTCATCTTCATTGGTTACAGCTGCAGCCCAATTAAGGACATCACAGCTGCAGCCCATCAAGGGCAACCAGGACCTCTGGGGCAAAGCCTCTATAGAGATATTCTAATACATTTCCTCTACTATATTAGATGGCTCAACCATCCAACCTGGATGTTTTAAGTACAAAACTAACATAATCTTGAACAAATTCAAGCTAAAATTAAAACAGAGTACTTAAAATTAGAGAGGTAAACAGCAAATGATACCTGGGGTTTTAGATTTCGTGAACATAAGTACAGCATAGCCAAATGATGCAAGTTCTGACTTGAGAAGCTGTGGTCCTTTAACGCCTCTGGACATTCAGTTGCTTCTTTATTTGCATATTAAATAATATAATATTATATCTGTATTTCTATATATATGTATATATAAATAATATATATGATCGTATTTATTGCAGTCAAAAAAACTGAAATTCATTTTGTAGGGCTCTGGGAAATATTTAGTTCAAGGTTGCCTTTCAAAACAAAAAAGAATTGATTTTATCTTTGAAAATGAAACTAAAAGGAAAACATCATAAATGATAGCATCTTTTATATTTGTCAATATTATAGAAATTTTAATGGACTTTCCCTGTTATTTTAGAATTCCCTGATGGAATCAATCCTACTACAAAAGAGAGAGGTGGACCCAGAGGCCCTGAACCTACACGTTTTGGAGATTGGGAAAGAAAAGGACGTTGTATAGATTTCTAATATTGAAATGTCTGTATTGCTAATAAAATATTTCTAGTTGCTAAAATATATCATGTACAGAAAAAATCTCACCTGGATTTGTCATGGAGCTTATTGTTTCTGTCGTGCCACCACATTCTGTCATGTGATGAATTTTCTTAATAATGCAATGTAATTAAACACAGTGCTGCAGCTCAGATTATGGAGCTGTTAGTGGCTCAGTGTCTGCCTGATCTTTAATACTATTTACACTCTGCAAGTATAAATGCAAGTATAGTGGTGTGAAATTGGTAGTCAGGAGCTTATTGAGATGTATAAGGGCTTGTATTTCTTCATGAATATAAAGATTTATGTGGTGGTGTAAAAGTGTTGAAAGAACTTTGCATTTCATGAACC